ATTAATATTATTATTAATAGTTTTTATGATTTCTACATCGTCAGTCCTTTTTTCTGCTCTGTTGTCAAAATGTACAGTAATGGTAAATCCAAACTCTTGACCATTTAGCGTTAGCCGTTAGCTTCACCAGCCGATCACATGGTCACCTGGTTTCTGAGCACTCCAGCTGTTCTATACAAATTCCCTGGGCTGGACAGATTTACGCTCCTAAGACGTGTTGGCGATGCCTGAGACAAAGTTCAGGTGGGTTTGATGCAATGACTTTGCGATTATTTTGTTGTAAAATTCAGGTGGCAGGACTGAAAGCCTCCGCTATTCACAAAATGAAATTGGTAATCCCATAAACACTTCGAGATATTTTGGAGACTCCCTTTTAATATTCTGTTCTTCACCTAGTTGCTAGCAGTCACAGCCCAAAGAAAAACTGTCCATTTTTTTATTTATGGCATTCTGACCCACCCTTCAAATGTATTTATCAATTAAATGTAAGTTCTTTGTTAAATACTGCCTTTTTTCAGCAGCTAAGTAGAGCACACAGATTACCTCTATGGCTCATAACGGTTTATTTTTACTTGACTGACCAATAGGCGATTGCAGAGATAGGCCTCTGTGCGTAGTGACAAGACAAGTCTGTTGTCAGTACAAAGCTTTCCATTTCTTCACGAACTCGGTGAACTTGTTCTGTTTCCTGCCTCCTGCCAGATCTTGCTCATCTGCTGCACCACTCTGAGCCGACCTTAAACTCCAAACTAAGCTAGGGAGTACGGCTGCCTCCCGCCATCTGTGCACAAACTCCTTCACCCATTAGCACACAGACAAGTAATAACATTGGACGCTATGGCCCGTGCCGTAACTTTTTAAAGAAAACTCGCCCAGCCCCACTCATCCTGTCATCAGTTGCTCTCTCGTGGATGATTTCTTCATCACTTTGCCTGTAATGTAATTTCCCAAAGTCCCCTGATTCAGATTCAAACACTTTGGATGCCGTGTTTCCAGTAAAAGCTGTCATCAAGATCCTCAGATTTCTTACATATTGTCCAGTTTTATTTATTTTTTTGGAAAATGTTGATCCATCTCCAACATTGTCTTTTCAGGAGTTTTATGACCACACAAAGCTCCTCTGGCAGGACGAAGGTGTGCGGGCTTGCTGGGAACGATCCAACGAATACCAACTCATCGACTGCGCTCAATAGTAAGTCTTTGTTTCGGTTACTTTGAACCCCTCTGTGTGCAAACCCTTGGTACAGTTCATACATGAGTTTAAGGACTCACCAGTGTGAGACAGCGTGTTTTGTCAATGAAGTGACAGTCATCTATAGTATATGAATCTCAATTTTTTTGGTTATTTCTTGGTACATGTTGGAAATTCCTTGGTAGTATATTCAGCTGACTTGTCTCTTAATATTTTGCACGGCCCATTTGCAGATGGTCCTTTTTGTGCACTGAGAGATTTAATGGTTGCGGCTCTGTGCTGGTTAATAAATACATTTTTCTCTCAGTCAGTTCTCTGTTTTGTCCTGCGTGTTGTGTTTGTGGTTGCTGATGGCGAGTATGACTGGCGCTGCATATCAGAGCAAGCGAGACGTTTTAAATTCAGTTTCAACATAATTTTCTGTTTGAGACATTCAGGCCCAAATGTGTCACTTTAATCTTAGCCAACATTTTGTTTGTTATGTGGCACTCGGTGTGTAGACTCATAGTTTTAAGGCTTGATGGCGCTTTTCCACGATGAGTTATGAAAAATAGCGGCATGCATTTTTCATTTTAGCAGTGGGTTTTATTTGTGTAATGGAGCACAATGGGCCTCTTGCAAGAACATGTTCGTATTCTTATCCTAAATTTCTCTTACTTTTGTTCGTACAAAGGGTTCGTACGAACATGCCACGTCAGATTCAACAAACTCTTCTATCTTCAGGAAAAGTGTGTAAATGAGCTGCGTAATTTCCACCTGTTCGTGTCCAGCTGCTCGTGCATGCGAGAGGAGATTAGCATAATTACCACCCCAAAAACACCATATAAGGCTATGTTTCCTGCCCCAGACACAAGGAAGTGTCCATTCATGAAAATGACAGCGCGACCCCCCCGGCGCGGTCTCAAGTGGTCTCAGTTGCGGTTCTGAAATAAGCATTTTAAAATGTTTTCAAAATA